TTTGTTAACTGCGAGCCCAAGGCCAGAGGCAGCTGTTAGTCACTAAAGATTTAATTACTTTGTACTTCCTTGTCTATATTTTGCCGATTATTTGTTTACTTAGTATTTTGTGATCTACAAGAAGAGTTAGAACTTTTTTTTTAAGAAACAGAGATTTATACACATATTATTATTATATTAGAGAGTTATTAAAAATAGTTGAATAAGCTTTTTAAAGACAAGAACTACAACATTTCAGAATAGTGACAATTTTGTAGAAAATTTTAAAGCCTAAAGAATATTTGAATAAAGAAAAAAATCATTCGAAAGCTTTACTAATATAAAAAATTTATTGGATTTAATTATTTTAAAAATTGTTTACTGAGATTTGTGAAATTTTATTTTAAATTTTTTTTTTTTGCTATGCTGATGCTGAGTATATTATATAAACTCTTAATTTTTAAAATATTAAGCATACATTTACTTAAAGTTGAAAAGCTAGTCATATTTTGATTTATATTTTTTCTTATATATATAAAAATTAGGAAACATATTAATAAAATTATCAGGAGTATGGCAATCTAGTGAAGTGGATAGGTTGTAGGGTTCAGGGCATGAGAAAAAAATTAGGCATGCCCATATGGGCATGCCTCTGAGCTAAGGCATGCCCCTTATGCCCATGAGCATGCCCTTTTTAAATCATATAATTAACATATAGTTTAAAAATCTTATATGTTAATTTAGTATCTATGGTTCTAGTTTATCTGAACTTATTAGCCAATTAAAATAACTTTAAACATCACATAACAAGAGCATGCCTTTTGGACTTGAGGCATGTCCTAGGAGCATGCCCTTAGGAGCATGTCCTATGCCCCTGTGCCCTGAACTCTAATAGGTTGTCAACCCTCAAGTAGCAGGTCTAAGGTTCAATTCTCATGAATGATGAATTTTGGAAATTATATATGTGTTATGGTAACTGTCTCTTGTTGATCAGTTGGGTTTTGGGCATCTGTAATCTTAGATACACCAAGTTGGGTCTCACCTGACATTGGAAGCTCAGGGCATCTATGTGAAGTGTAATGTTATACAGTACATGTATATAAAGGAATGTAAAACCAGTGTTGTATAAGGCTTCGGGCAAACCCACGATAAGACCACCGGGCATAGAAGGCTAAGAAACTGAAGAGACAGAAACTTACTTGGAAATCCTGAGTAAAGAGGTAGCACAAACTTTCGATGGTCCATTGGACTGATGGAAGCCTGTGAAACACCTTCATAGGAACTGATTAGGTAAACTGGATGACAAAGATGTGTAGAGGAGCACATGACCAACCAGGCCACTGGAATCGCCAGAGAAAAAGGATATATAAGTATACCATACTGGGCCATCTGGATTAGAAGTCTGATAAATTGGTTAGTTCTGAGTTGTGGCTAGTATGGGATGATGGAGAAGAAGTCAGAAAGATGGGTATCAGGGTTTGGATGAACTTTACAAGAGTAATAGTGGTTTAAGAAGTAACTCTAACTGCAAGTGGCCATAGCATCAAACCAGGTTAGTAGTAAAAGAGAATACGGCTCGCTTTGATAGGTTTACCTTAAGAATAAAAATAATCTAAGGATTATAGTTCTATAGTCGAATGCGAATAGATCTGAGTCTGTAAACTAGTGAAATTAATACTAGGATTAGATCAAAGGGTTTAAATAAAACACCTAAGCAGAGGTGTTAGGTATAGCAACTGGTAAGAAACCCTTGGGCGGACTCCTTAAATAGGTAATATAGAAAAGTTACATGTATAGCCAGTTGTACACTCATCTAATAGTTCATTATAGATACATCTATATAAAACATGTAACTGCTATAAGTATTAATAAAAAGCTCAGACCAAAGAGGTTATCTTAATACTAAAAAAAAAAAAAAATTAATAAAATTATCATTTCTTTTTAGGAATAACATTCGAGAGACTAATTTGAGTTTTAGATTAAAATGTCGAAAGGTAATATGATTTCCAGCATCTAAAAAAATGCATTTGCTAGAGGCAGAAATAGCAAAAATACTAAGATATTTTTTGGCTAGTTTTGAGAGGATTGGAAATTGAACTTGATGCTGTTACCACCATAAGAGAGGATTTGCATCAGAAGAGGCTAATGGTGTTTGCCTAAAGTCAAGGTAAAAATCTAATTCATCTGTAAATTCTTGTGATCTTTGAGTATTACTGAATATAAGATCCTTAAACATATTATTAGGAGAGAGATTTTTTGAGCTAGATGAAGTAGCGTGTTTATTTGATATTGGTAATTGTATATTCATTAGTTGATGAAGTTGAAATCTACATTCATTAATGGTATTATTATGAGTTTCTTCATTTGCAAAAGTCATTTCTTTTAGCCAGAGGTCTAATAATATTGCGAGAAGGCAAATTTGTGATAGGTGATCCCAATATTCAAAAAGTGAGTTATATATGATATTTTGTATGTCTTTTACAATTAATTCATAGTCATTTTCAGACTAGTTTTCTTGAGTATCAAAGAATATGTCACTTTTATTTTCATCATCTAAAGAATTAGACTCCAAATCATAATTAGGTGTTTCTTGGAGACCTAGTGTAATTAATATTGAATATAATTGATAAGTATACATCAGTTAAAATTAAAAAAAAAAATAGTACTGGAATATAAAATAGGTTTTTGGCTTCATATGACACAGTAACTACTATATATATTTTTTAAGATTATTTTTAAAACAAAGACACTTTGATTATTATTTGACATGCCAAATTTTTTGTCATAAATGATTATGAAACTTGGATAATTATAAAATTTAAAAACTCTTATTTTGCTAATTACCTTAACCCTAACCATCAGATATGTTAATTTCAGTATCAGTCGATTTCATGATCATCTGTAATATTTTTTAATTTTAATTACTAATATTAAAATTTTATACCTTCAGCATTATTATAGTCATATTCATTAGAATCTATATTTTTTGCATAATGAACCTTCATTGCCTCTATTAATAGATGAATATATACTATAGTAGGATATTACTAGCACTAAAATATTCAGTAGCCCTGTTGAAAGATTTTAATATCTCAATCAATTTTTTAACAAGATCTTATTCATTATCTTGCAGTATCAATCTGTTTAATTTTTGACCATCTTTTTGTGCATCTGAATCATTATCAAGAGACAATGTCACTAAAAGCTGTCTGATTGCAGGGCACAGCTCAATTAACTTTTTCCATGATTGAAATTTGAAATTTCAATGGGTTGGTATATCTTTAATAATTTGCAATGTAGGTACAAACTTATTAATAGTTATTTGATTATTGGCTATTATTTCATTACCCTCCTCATCTTCAAAATTACTATTATTTTCAGATTTATCGGATGAATTTGGGTTATTACAAAATATTTTTTTCTGTTTTTTTTTATGTGCTTCAATTTGTATGATGTCTAATCTCTGACTTTGTTTAGGTGAATCAAAAAATTTAACCAAATTTTGTATATGGATAATTTGTTGATGCTTTGCCTTAAATACACAATTGATTGATAATTGTAAGGTATGGGCTGTGCATGGCAATCTTTCTACATCCTTCCAATTTCTTATAGCTCTTACCATGTTACTATCATTATCAGTAACAATACAAAGAATTTTATTTTGTAAATTAAATTCTTGGACTTTATTAATAAGAAATTCCTTAATAGCATGACCAGTATGAGAGTACAGCATTGACTTTAAACAAAGTAGAATTTCATTTAATTTAAACTGGTTATTTAACCAGTGAGCTGTTATTCCAATGTATTCTGTTTTATTTCTTGCTATCCAAAGGTCAGTTGTTAGAGAAATTGTTTCACTACTTTGTGCTAAAAGATCATTGATTTAGTTTTTTGCAGTTACATTTGCAATAGATATTTCTTTTTATAATGTTTTATAAGAAGGCTGACAAAAGGCAGGGTCTATTTGCAATATAAATCTATGAAACCCTTATTTGGTGATAATTTTAAATGATCGATTATCAATCACAAGCCATTCTGCAACAGCATGACAAATATTAAGCTTTTTAATTCCTTTGTGAGAGACAACACATTGTAGTATACTAGTAATAGTTTGCTGAGAACCTTTTGTATTGCTCTAAAATTTAAATTTATTGACTAAATTTTTACATTTATTTTTTATTAGATAAAAACATGATTATTTACCTGGTTTTTTTGAAATTTTACTATGTCATGTTCATCTGCAAGATGTAAATTCATGTTGGATGTAGACCATCTGAGTAGATACTTAAATTTTTTTCTATAGCTCTTTTCTTTTTCATTTATTTTAATTTTAACATCACATACTGATTCTTTTCCTTCTACTTTAAAATATTTTCAGCACAGTGCAGGTTGTTTATTTGTTTTACAACAACGTTTGTGTTTTTTTAAATTGGTTTAGAAATCTTCAGTTTGAAAATTATCTTTTTCTAACATGCCATCAACTTCTAGTGAATTTTCAGCCTGTGAAGTTTCTTCAGATTTAATACCTGATATTGTTATATCTTTAAACTAATATATATCTTTAGAAATAAAATTGTCAAGTGAAAAACAAAAGTATAAAGAATTTTAAGTTGCAATTTATAGCTATTTGTGAGCTGGTTTATTAATTATATTGTATTTGATATAATATTTTATCTTCTATATTAAATATTAATAAAAACTATTATGCTTAAAAAATCAGATTTATAGCTTATTTGGAATATCAATAATGTATTAAATGCTACTTTAGATGCTGTCCATATATATGCACTGATATGCTTTTTTTTTCAGGAAATAATACATAATGCACTATGTGAAATAATTATTATTTAATAATTAGCTTATTTGGATAAAGACCATCTATTAAACAATAATATCAGCATTTAAAGATTGTATTCTTTGTTCTGGATCTGTTCTACCTGTTGTAAGTATTTGACAGCAAAATGAATCTACAACTTACTTCATTAATGCATATGATTCTCATTCAAATACTATTAATGAAATTTATATTACAATTTAATAATTTTTTCAATCATAAGTTCCAGTTTGAGATTGCAGTTTAAATTTGTTTATTTAAGTTATTTGTTTTTAACTATAGGCTTATGACATTGTTGCTCACTTTCTTGAAAATGACTTCCTGAAATGCTATTTTTCTGACTTCACAAATCCAATATCTCTTTTTCCCATTAGAATCCATTTTGGATCTGTTCATTTTACTGACAATTAATTTATTGATAACTTATTTTACTAATATAGTAATTCTGTTTAGGTCAGGTAGAATTAAAGTTAAGGTTATTAAAAAAAACTTGTCAGTAAAATAAGCTTGTCAGTTAATTAATTTTTGGTAAATAACACAGACCTATTTCTGTATTGTTAGTAAAATGAATTGTCGGTATTACAACTTTGGTGGAATGGTATTTCAAAATAATCGACTTCAGGAAGTCAACCTAGAATTAGCTTATAATTATTAAGTAAAAGCATTTAAAATGAAATGTGTACAGTTAGATACTTTGTTTTAAAAGATTACAAATAAGAGTTGAGATCATATAATTATAAAGTTCAAGTACTGTATTGTGTGAAATAACACTCATAGTGTTATTTCAGAACATGAGCTTGAAGTGAATTCTTCTTAAAAGTCTTCTATTAAATTCTTGGTTTGAATTCAGGTTCTGAAATAATGCATATAGACATTATTTTGCACAAATACAGTGCTAGAAATTATTATGCAAGGTCATTATTAAAAGTAACTTATGCAAGATTATTTAGGACCATTAACATATTATTTAGGTGAAGTTACTGATTTATCCTGAAGATCACCTACCAGACAATGATATCAACATTGAAAGGTTGTGTTCTTTGTTTGTTCTAGATCAGTTTCACATGATCTTAGTATTTGACAGCAAAATTAATCTGCAACTTATTATATTAATAATATGATTTTTATTCAAATACTACTAACACAATTCATATTATGGCAATTTTATAATTTTTAACAATAAGTTCTAGTTTGGTTTGGTTTAAACTTAGTTATCTAAGTTATTTGTTTTTTAATTACAGACTTATGATGATTAAGTCAAATGTCTTATAAAATAGTTCTTTTGTAAATGTGCATGGTCAGGTATACTTTGTATGAAAGATAATAAATAAGAGTTAAAATCATATAATTAGAGAGTTCAAGTATTGTATTTGTGCAAAATAACACCAATATTTTGGGACACAAGCTTAAGGTGAGTGTAAATCATAATTCTTTGTTATTAAAGTTTTTGGTTAAAGGTCATCTCAAACTCAGGTTCTGAAATAATGCCCATGGGTGCTATTTCGTGAAAATACAATACTGAAATTTATTATGCAAAGTTATTGTTAAAGTAATTTATGCAAGATTATTTAGGACTATTAATGCATAATTTATGTAAAGGTTACTAATTTTTTCTAAAGATTATCTATCAGACAATAATACATATCAGCATTTAAAGATTGTGTTCTGGATCAGACCCACATGGTCTTAGTATTTTGACAGCAAAATGAATTTACAACTTACTACATGATTTTCGTTCAAACACTATTGACGAAATTAATATTGTGATAATTCAGTAATTTTTTAATAATAATTTTCAGTTTAGTTTAGCTTTTAAATTTGTTTTATATTTTTAAACTACAAGTTTAGGATGATTAAGTTAATTTTTATTTGTAATATTTCAATCAAAATATATCTAACTACAACAAAGTCATCATTAAAAGTGGTTTATACAAGGTTCCCAAAAAAGTGATTTACATAAGTTTATTTAGACTATTAATGCAATTACTAATTTTTCAATAAGATAAATGATGTGCATATATGTGCATATATGTTCCTTTTTTTTCTTTTTTGCATGCTGAGTGATACCAAAAAAAAGTCCGAATTCAATATTATAAGATTTATCTATTTGAAGTTTAATTTTCCCTTAGTTATTTTTCTTGTGTGCATATATATGCATATTATATATTTCAGTTCACTTTAACTGGCAATTTACTCTATTTTAAGGTTTATTAGTACATAATAAGACTTATATCAAAATATTGCTAGGAACTTTGTTATTAATGTGCAAAAAGATAATTTACAGACAATTTTTAAGATAATCTTTCTAATTCTTTTTGTTTAATAATATACTAAAGTTTGAATTTTTTAAATTTGATCGATGATATGTCCTGGAGCTTGTAACACCAGATAATAAATAGGTACATTTAGTAAAGATTTAAGAACTTAATAAGTGCTGAAGTATAGTAGTTTATACTTAAAGAACCTTCGAATCTATATTAAAAATTAATGAACTAATTTATGAATCTATAATGCTATATCCTTATGACAGAAGTAAATAATCTTGACTTCAAAGCTGTAGCAAAGCCTTTTTATATGGATTGATACTAAATAAATTACTAGCTAATATCATATTTTGAAGAATAAAAACCTTGATATATTATAAAAACTTTAATTATATCTGGGTGAATATAATCAGCATTTAGATTTAAAATGTTAGAAGTATATTTAAGTTCTAATATGCTTTCGTTTGTTTTTGCTATCCTTAGCTTATCTTGAAGATTTTTTGGATTTACCAAGATTGGGTATTTGATTATATTTAATATGAGGATTGGTCTATGAAAATGTCAGTCTGAGAATTTGAGAATTCTCTGATTGCTCATAAAAATGATTAATCATTTAACTCAATTCTAATATAAAAAAATTAATTATTTTTATGATCAATTGGAGAATTCTTAAGTCCTTAGACTAACATTTTTCTAGATCAGTCCTCATATTATTTATTACTTTGATCGGTAAGCTATAATTAGCATTAACCTAATCAACAAGCATCCAAATGTATCTGCTAAAGTTGGTGATTTTTTCTCGAAGTTTCAAGATCTATATTTTCGCCTCTAGACAAGAAATATACTGGGTATTTTACATTCTTTTTTTTATAACAACCTTATAGAGATTATGATGATTATTTATGCAAAATATACATATTTTGCACAAATAGTCATCATGATCTCTTTAAGGTCATTATAAAAAAGAGAATATGTATAGTGATTTTTGAAATAACTGGTATAATGGATTTTCTAGCAATTATAATTTAAACACTTATTGCATAGCACTACAGTTGATCTAGAGATCTTTCAATATTATACTTGGGCTTAATTTCAGACAATTTAAATATTTTTTTTCTATTTATTACTAATATGCTTTTAAATTAACATATTCAAAACATTTATTCATGCCGATTATTACAGAGTTACTTATATTTCTGGTCAGTTAAAATTCTTTAAGAGCACATTTGTTTATTTTGTTATATGTTATTTTATTTTATTTTTTTGTTATAGGGTTCAATGATTCTAAGTGTATCATTAGGATTCAAAATCTTTTGCTCATGCTCTATGACTATTAATGTTCGAATTATAATTATTTGGGGTTGAAACATTATTGAACCATATTAATGGTCTTTTGAAGTCTCTGTAGATATGTAAGATAATATATAAAACCTATTTTATTTATTTATTTATTTATTTAATTTTATTCTTTATTTTATTTTTTTTTGCTACAGCAGTATTGATCAAGTTTTTTTCATTTCAATAAATATAAATTTAACTTACACAATGCTCTTTAAATTTGTTATATTAAGAAACTATTTAGGCACTCTTCTGCTCATGAATGATTTTATGTTATGATTTGAAAAACTATATATATTAAGCTACAAACCTCTAAGTGCATGTTTTTGGATCAAACTCTAATAATATGCACTTAGAGAACAATGTATTTATAGAGAACATTTATATAATTGAATCTGAATTTTAGAGAATGTGTACTTGTAGAAGGTGCACTTAGCATTGACATTATATATATGCTTGATAATTTTGAAAAGAATTGAACATATATGCTCAATGTTTTTCAAAACTGTTGGACATATGTTCAATGCCAAAATTAGGTGCACATATAGAGGTTTTATGCCTATCGAATATGAGCGCTGCAGAGCGAAAAGCTGAAAATGAATATTTAAGTTCTCATTATGATGAATTTAGCCTCTAAAGAACTTCAATATTACATACTGATAAACAATGTTTTGATAGTTTAGTAACAATAACAATAAGTTTGTATAAAATTTTACTAAATAACTAGGACATTGATTATATATATGATTGATTACATGCATCAGAATTCACAAGACTAAATGGGCTAAACTCATCATGATGAAAATTTAAATATTCATTTCCAGCTTTTCACTTTATAGCACTCATATAATTAGCTTTTTTAAGCATATGCTTTAAGTGTTTCAAGTACAAATGACAAATATACATAAACATTGTCCCAACTATCCCTGTAAAAACTCCACTTGCCTCTGCACAATCCCTCATTCATAATTGACTAATGTCATGACCTATTGAAGCATTTGATTATAGACATTATATGCAATTTACATAAGTTTTAATAATTATACTGCATAAAATGTTTGATCAGTTTAGGTTTCAAGTATGATTGGTCATATTAATATATATTAACAAAGAATTAAATCAGCATCTGGAAAGCATGTACCAATTTTGTGCAAGCAATGTAAACCAAATCCGATTAGAACAATTTAGAGTTTTTATATAATTTGATATTTATCTAGGTTTCAAACCCAATTTGAACCCAAATCTTATCATTTTTTTTATATATCTAGTACAATTGTTGAATTTAGTAAAAACATTAGAAGTCTACTGATCTTAAACTACCAGTATTGTTCTATGATCAATTTGGTCATAACAGAAGTTAATATGACTTTATGATCTTTTTAATAAAATTTTTTTATTAGCATTATTAGTATTTAATTTGACTAAGATGTTTTATGTTCACAAAGTTACATAATTATATAATCAAAAAAATGTGATTTGGATCATCAATCAACACTGCATATCACCAGGTTGGGTTTACATCTCTTGGTGCACTATACTGACTAAATGAACTTTAGAGTTTCTTACTAATTTAATGTATTATAGCTTAATTGTAAAAAGTTCTAATTTCTCTTAATGATTTATAGTATATATGCATAACAATATACTTGTTATCTATTTGACAATTCCAGTCTTTCACTTATAATTTTTGTTTGATAAATCAAATATCATTTGTCAGTGTTATTACCAATCTGAACCATATTTTTTGAAAAGTTATATTTATAATAGGTTGATCTAAAA